AGAGAAATTGAACTCAGGTGCGATAAACCAGTGTTTTGACAGGGGGGCAAACACTTGTTCACACAGGGATCTATAGTTTTGGATTTTGTTTTCCCTTAATAATAAAAACCTTCATTTAAAAACTGCATGATGTGTTTACTTGTGTTATCTTTGACTAATATATAAATTTGTTTGACGATCTGAAACATTACAGTGTGACAAACATGCAAAAAGATAAGAAATCAGTAAGGGGGCAAACACTTTTTCACACCACTGTATAGGCCTGTTGGGTTCAGGGTCTTTCATCTTTCAGCTGCCTGCGTGCATGTTGGAGGTGCAAGATATCTGAGCGTGTAATGTTAATTTTTACCTGTGTTCATTGAATAAATCAGCACTGTTTTGAAGCTACTCGGACTGCCTCGTCTCTCAGAGTTAGCATGGTAAAAAGAACCGATTGCAACAACAATATCTGTTTTAAAAGGCAATGATATCTCAGTGTTGAGTTCACAGAATTTCTTTTTACTTTATTCATTCATTCATTTATTTCTTTATTTTATTTTTTACTGTTTTCAAGTGACCAAAGTCATAAAGTGGTCATGATGATAGCTATGAATATTTGTTATCATTTCATAGCTGGGAAGTATTTAGTTAGCTTGATGTAGTATGTAAAAATACTACAGTACTTCTGAGCTAAAATGATGGTTTTTGCATTCATACAAATACAGTATATTGTGCAAGTGTGTGTGTGTGTGTGTGTGTGTAGCCTGGTATTACCCATGTTGTGGGGAAGGATGGAGTATTGTCCTTGAGTGACAGTGCTTTTGAGTTCACAGAAGTACAGATGAACAGAGAATAAATGGCAGCCTACAGAGGAGGCAATGACACCTAATTTACTTAATATAATAAAATCAGATGATTACAAGTGGCCTTCAGTTGCTGCTCAGCTAAACAAAACTAAGGCAAATGTCTGCTTTGCATCAGTAATCTAACAGCATTTATTTCCCACACATCCTTTAGAAACAAATTGTTTTTCTCAATGACTACTGGCTTATCACAATGACTTCTAGATGGTGTCAGTGGGTGAATGATGAGGGTCAAAATCAAAATCCACCTGTACTACAGACTGAATGTATTTCTATGATCGTATAGCACCAATGTTGTGAAGGTGTATGACACTGATGACAGTGGTAAATAGATAAAGCTCTCTCCATCTGACTCTCCGCTTGTGTGTGGTTCCTCACACAAAAACACTATGAAATAACACTTGGGGTTAAGTCTAAATCAAACACTTGTATGTCAAGCTTATATCTGGGAGCACTGGACATCTCATTAAGCAAGAAATGTGCTTATGTGTGCACTGAGTTCCAAAATCTGTAAAAATGTTGTTGTGCGACTTTGGTAAGCGCTCCGCTTGATTGACTGTCGGACCATTTCCCGCTGACACAGGGACGTATTACGTACACTACGTACGCTGGCAGCGATAAACCAGTCTACACCGGTCTGAGGACCCCCGAAAATGGCACCAGCGAAGAGACATGCTTACGAGGCACAATTTAAACTACAGGCTATCAGTTATGCGGTTGTAAATGGGAATAGAGCAGCTGCGAAAGAATTCAAAATCAATGAATCTATGGTTCGGAAGTGGAGCAAGCAAGAAAATGAACTGCGCCAAGTTAAAAAAACGAAACAGAGTTTCCGTGGGAAAAAAGCGAGGTGGCCACAGTTAGAAGACCAACTTGAACAATGGATTATTGAACAAAGAACAGCTGGGAGAAGTGTCTCTACAGTCATCATTCGACTGAAGGCAAGAACGATAGCACAAGACATGAAGATCGAACACTTTCAAGGAAGTCCGTCTTGGTGCTTTCGTTTTATGAAAAGGCGTCATCTCTCCATCCGCGCAAGGACTACCGTGGCGCAGCGACTGCCAGCGGATTACAAAGAAAAGCTGGCCATCTTCTGCACCTACTGCAGTAACAAGATTACCGACAAAAAGATCCAGCCCAACCACATCACCAACATGGACGAGGTCCCCCTCACTTTTGACATCCCCGTGAACCATACTGTGAGAAAAAAGGGGACCAGCACGGTATCGATACACACCACGGGGCATGAGAAGTCAGTTTTCACTGTTGTTCTTGGTTGCCACGGTAATGGACAGAAACTACCACCTATGGTCATTTTTAAGAGGAAGACGCTGCCAAAAGAAATGTTTCCAGCCGGAGTCATCGTTAAGGCCAATCAAAAGGGCTGGATGGACGAGGAGAAAATGAGC